TTTAAACTGCATATCAACTATTATAACATTATGGAGACCTTTTAAAATAACTTTTCTGAGGAGGTACATAAAGCATATTGGTATTTAACAAAAACGATTTTGATCAAAATCTAATATTAAGTTACGGTAAAGCTGGATATAGAAAAATAGCTCTTGAAAAGCTCTACAATATCTGTTAATAGCAAACTTAACAAAGGCAGACAGCAGGTTTTATGAGTTTAATACTAGACTTTTCCATGGGTCGTGGTAGGAACATATCGTACAGTAGCCGACCCGATACCTTTTCTCTTTTTGATAGTTGTAAAATCGAATTATTTTGAACAGTCAGTGATTTTAATAGTTCTCATGCAAACTTGGGTAGTACGGCAAATTCGGCAGGAGGTAGCCAGCTATGTGCGCAGATGGAAAGTAATAATTACTTTGTACCTCTATCAGATAGACCAATTTTCAAGCAATCGATTACTGTTCCAGATATAGCCATCGCCTCATTTGACGGTTGTGTACCAGAAACATTATTGGAGGGAAGTATCAAGCACTATTCCGTTTTTGTGTGAATTGCAGGAAATCTATCCATAAGAATTCTATCGGCATATGATTAGATTTCGAGCTGAAGCGAAGAAATCTAGAATGGAGTTGGAAACTGTGCAAAAATCAGTAGAAACGCAGAAAGTTTTCTGGAGACCTTCCAATGTAACCATCATGCGCGGAATGTCGTTTAGATATCTCTTGTTCAGTACAGAAATCTCTAAGACATTATTAATCACCTGTGACAATAATCTTGAAGTTTTTGCAGTAAACACAAGTCTGAGTAACCGAAAACTTCCAGGGTGAACCGAGCTATAAGCTTTGCTGAATGGAAACTAGCTACTAACAAAAAAACCCCTGGAAACCATAAAAATCATCATATATAAACTTTATACTTCAAACTTCATTTTCCTTCGGAAAACGGACAAGTCCTAGGAAGTTTTAACAAAACGTTCAGTCGAGGGCCTTTGACATCTGCAAATGGTTTCTCTTATATTGTTGATCTCATTCTTCTGAAACACTAAAACAATCCCATGCGCTGTTACGGAGATCTTGCACAGTATGCTCGATCAGCGAGCACTACACCTAAATTACACATCATTTGAATGAGCACAAAAAACTCAACAAAGCCTGATATTGTTCAGATCCTAAAAGAAAATTTTACGCATCCGAAAAAATTAACTAAACTACCATGAGAACGCAAAAAGCAGCTAATTTTCCACTAAAACAATTCTAATATTTCTGAAAATTGCTTTAAACACGATTTTCATTTATACAAAGTCATTCTTAATCATCAATAGGTCAAAGAAAGTTAAGGTCGTTTACGAGATAATAGATAGGATACTAATAGTACACTGTACAGAATTTAGACCATTTTATATTCCATTCAATCATGCTGGACACTTGGCATTAAAAACTTCTATGAAGCAAACTGGAAGATTTGTCTAAGATAAAATAAAACTCGTTCTTCATCTAATTCTCTAACCCCATGTAAAAAAGTCAAAAATTTTGCACAAATTTTGAAAAATAACCATGCATAGTTAAATTTTATGCATAGTTTACAGGGTCTTATGTATAAAACAGTCCTATGCGCCGCGGTTATGCTTAAAGCTTTTTTATCCATAGAGAAACCATCCTATGTATAGCCCATGACTTTCCGTTGCCAAAATACGTCCCATACTATGCATGAGCATTCCTTTACCGGCTAACGCATCCAATAGAGCTGCCGAGTCAACTATCCAATTCTTTCTAGGACAATCGAATTCTGCAGCTGGGAGTGCGACAGGACTGTCATGTAAGTCGAATGGAAGTGGTGAACTTCCAACCTTCATGTCTTTTTGTTTTGTTAAAGCGCGCCAACAAACCAGCAATTCCAATGGATTAAGCCCGACGATTTCAGCATCCACAGTAACAGGTATGTATGTGCCACAAATAGATGTTTCTATGCTATACCCATGAAGGTAATTTTAGTTGAAAACCTGCGATATATCGAGATATTATGCTAAATATGCTGAAATATAGCGATAATGAGCAACTCCGTCGCGATATAAAAATTATTGCAGTTAATCGCAGTCTTTCGGTAAAACGCAGTAGTCGAAACTGTCGCGCTACACTAGTTATTTAGCGTTGTAAATACTTGTATGTCAATAATCCGCGATAAATATATGTCGGACTTGCTCCTAATAAAAGTATTATCGTAATATATGTGATCTTTATATTTGAAAACAGAAGTATCGCGATAAACTCCAATAGATTTGTATCGAGTATTATCGTGATAAAAGGGTCATCTCGACAAGAAGCTAAAAGTACCGCGATTAAATTTTTATCCTAACGAATGAGGAGATTAATTTTCCCTGTTTTATCTCGATATGAAAAAACATAGCGATAACTACTACGATTGTTGAAGATAACAGATTCATCGCGACAATTTCCGAGAAAAGTTATCGTGTTTTTTTCTGTTGGGTTTGGAATCAAAAGGCTCTTTTTTGTCATATAAAAATATCACGATTGAGTGTCTAGTTATAATATTTGTGCTTTTTTCGATGGTCATGTGTATATGGTGTTTCGATATGTTTCCTCCTTGCCAGAAATTCTTTTTCTCTCTCTTTGAACAAGAGAGTTTCTGCTGCAGTGTAAATTGGCGGTATACTTCATTTCTCTTCGAATTTGTTTTCTCGCTAGTTATTCATTGAACATTACTTATTATGCAGAGAGAAAATACAAACGTAATTCCGTTTGCATGCGGTTGGTACGTAAGAATCCTACCTTGTGAGAAGACCGGTAAAAGTAGGTTTCTGTATACTGTTGTACTGAAATCCAACGCATAACTACCATCCATTTCAAAATAAAAGATACTTGGCCGCATTCTTAATAACTTTTTACAGAAACATGATAGCGATCTGCGGTTTTCAGTTTCTGGAAGTAAAATTTCGGGGCTATTAGAAAATGCGAAAAAACCGCAGATCGCTATCATGTTCCTGTAAAAAGTTATTAAGAATGCGGCCAAGTATCTTTTATTTTGAAATGGATAGTAGTTATCTAAACATCTAGAAACGGTTTAAAAATAGTAAAAGATATTGATCTATAGAGATTTGATAGAAGTACAGCAATTATCAATGGATCACAATTTTTATATAAAAGTACAAACGTATCGTCGACATTTCTACACCAAAACTTCACAGCTACTTTTCAGAGACGGTAAATGTTTGTCCTCAAAATCCGAAATAAACAATTCAGCCATCAAAGGTGCTATAGCAGTAGGTATAGCACACCAATATATTGGTGTACCCATTGAAACTACATCTATTTGATCCTATAGTTTTCCTCTAAAGTAGAAATGTGTTTTTTGTTGCAAAAACTAGCAGCTTTTTGAAATCTAGTTTTTTCATTGATGGTTTCCTGTTTAATGAGTACATTTTATCAATAACAATTTGAATAGTTCGTCTAAAGGTACATTTGTATACAGATCAAACAAAACCATTACATTATCAGCCGACAGATATCGATTATTTGGGAAGTTTTTGACAAAATCAGAAGTACCTTGCATAGTACTGGAGCTCTTTAAAACCGATAGGTTACTAATTAATCCCCTCCCTAAGTCATAGTTGAAAGTGCCTATGACAGACAAAACAGGTCTTAATGGCACCTCTGTTTTATGAATCTTTGGTAATCCATATATGGATTACATAGAGCATGGATTAGAACCTGCTGATCTTGCCATATTATACGTGGATTCACTGATATGACCTTATTTATAAAGCTAAGTAGTTTGTTAATTTTTTATTACTTTCCTTCGTATGTTTTTTTATTGTCTGCTAAACGTTTCGGTACTAATAAGCACCTTCTTCAGTAGCAGTTTAAAAAAAGATAATGTACAAATCTAAAATTAAAGTTAAATCGAAAAATATATGAAACAACGGAAAATATAAAATTGTAAAAATAGGGTGAAAACCGAACATCATCCAAATTTTACGTCACTGTATAGTTTTTCCTTGTTTGACTCCTCAAATTATATGCTTTATTTACTGTTGTCATGACTATATTGTTGTTATTATTCAGTATAACATCCTTTCCTTTATCCTTTTCTGCTTTTCTATATCTAACTCCTAATTTTTCTTTTACCCATTTATGAATCGTTGGATTCCATTGACTAGAAATATGCATCCTACCAATGAGTATATCGATTCTAACCTATCTTTCTAACGAAAACGTTTTGCTCATGATCAACGATCACACTATCATCGAATTTAATGTTGTGTTTACTACATAGACTCCAATGTTTAGCTATTTCTGATTTATCTGTTTTTGTATTCTTTTAACACAATTTATATGTTGTTTTATTCGTCTATCAAACATCTCACTTTTTCCTACATATATGTCTTCGCAGTCGCAATATATGCCATAGATGGCATTATTGCCTGATATATTTTTATTCGTATCTTTCTTGATTATAATTATCTCCACACGCAATTTGTCTACTCTTATTTAAGATTGCACCTATATTACGTGTATGCTTTGTAAATGTTCTAACTCCTGCTTTTAAACTGTTTTATTTTCTCCGTTACACCTACTAAGTATGAAATTACAATTGTTTCTTTAAGATCACGTTTCGCTTCTTCGTTTTTCTTCTTCTTCTCAGAACATTTTTCAATGGTTTTTATGACGTTTTTTGGATAATTAATATTGATTAAAATATTAGATAATTCCTCAATGTCATCTTTGCTTTTTTCATAATTATTAGCTACTAAAACGCGACTCATCATATGTTGAACGATGTTTCTTTTAATAGATTCATTATGATATGATTTAAAATGCAAAACTGTTTTTTCCTGCTATTGGTTTTCTATACCAACTTGTTTCTATTTTATTAACGATTTTATTTACTTTAATTAGCACATCTAAAAATGGTAATTTTGAATTTACCTCGAATTCTGATGTAAATTGTATGTTTTCGTCAACTGTATTTAACCTTTTTACTAAACGTTCTCCATTAGTTCAGATACCACTATTAAATCATCAACGTACCCACTCAACATAGAGACTGGAAACTCTTGATGATTCCAGTTTTTATCGATATAGTAATTCATTACAAGATCTGCCAATAAGGGTGAAAGTGAACAACCCATTGATTCATTTCGAATTGTGTTATTTATAAGTTTGTTACTTGTTTCGTTACATATATTCATCACGCCTTTTCCATGAAATCCTGGTGGCTTAATCCTAAAACCCTTTGGTATTAAACTTTCAACTTTGCATTTCTTCAAAAACTCTGTTTGTTCATTTAATTTGACTAATTTGTACAGAAAATTCCTTTTTATTCCAAATAGCTTACAATGCAAGTATTTTGTGTTCTCCATAGTTTTGGTTTGAGCTATACTTTGTGTACGAAGTTGATTTGCTAAATAGTTTGTTAATTTTTTATTACTTTCCATCGTATGTTTTTTATTGTTTGCTAAACGTTTCGGTACTAATAAGCACCGAAACGTAGCACCTTCTTCAGTAGCAGTTTAGAAAACGACAATGTACAAATCATTATTTATAAAGCCAGCACAGTAAATTAATTAGATTATTTTCACGTGCAATTTGTTGGATAAGTGCATAATGGTTGGAATTTTGTACGATTATTGAGTATTCGAAACATTTTATCATCATAATCCGTTCTGTTCATGATTACAACACCTCTACCTTTATCAGGCCATGTGATTACGATCAATTTATCTTGACGTAGAGATCTGAGTGCATTCCTATCCATCTCAATCTGTTTTCTAGATGTTTCCTAACCGTTTAGCATTCCAACGATATGAATCTGTTAAAGCACGGAATTGAAAAGCTAAATTTAGTTCTGTTGGATTTAGAATGTGAATATCCTTATCTGTAACTGTAATTGTTTCCTTTAGATCCTTCAAAAGTTGACCATGTTCTTGAACGGTTTTACCAAAGAGCGCTAGTACTATGAAAGATACTTATGATTTTGTTAAAAACCCCGAAATTATCGACATCTGAATAGAATGTATCTAAAGATGTTACACAGTCAGAAAACAATAAACAAGCAAAAAAGAAATTTCGCTTACATAAGAGGCACTGTTGCCGATAGTGAGGGAGAAAAAATAAATCATAATACAGTGAGAGAAAAAGAGAAAGAACAACAATAGTCTGAATAATGTAATGGTTTTGTTTGATCTGACTATAGTCAGATCTTGTATACAAATTATACTTTCTATAAAAATGTATACATTTGTACAATTAATTGTTATCAATAAAATGTACTCATTAAACAGGAAACCATCAATCAAAACACTAGATTTCAAAAAGATGCCAGTTATCGCAACAAAAAAACATACATTTATACTTTCGAGGAAAACTAGCCATAAGGGCAGGGCATTTTCGACAAATTTATCGCGATAAATGATATTTTTATCCACTCGTCACCTATTTTTCTACTATTCATCGAAAGAAAAAATTCATCATCAGGTGTCGCGATAAAAGAGATTTCTGCGATATAAAAAAGTCCTTTAGCGCGATGAATTTTTCCTTTCGATAAACAGTCGAAAAATCGGCGACGGGTGGATAAAAATATCATTCATCGCGATGAATTTATCGAAAAAGCCCTCATGGGTATGTGGATTTGTTAAAACGTGTCAATAATGATTTGTCATCTCGTCAAATGTTGGGCTCTATCTCAAGAGTCTATCATGACTTCCCCGCATTTCTTCGTTGTCGTTGCTATAAAACCAGTGTACGAACCGTGCTTGAATACGGTTGTGTTATCAACGATTGTACTTTTACTTCTCATCTTGAAAGTTTGGATAAAATTCATCGGCTTGCTAGTAGGATCATTTCACGATTTGGTAGTTCTTCTTCTCTACTCAAACAATTTAAAATTCAACCATAGAGCATACATTATACTATCTACATTATCGCCTTCTCTTTTTCTATAAAATTTTCCGTCATAAAAGGCGTCTCTCCTCTTTTGATCTAATTTCCCAGTTAACAACACATCAAAGTTCTCGATTAGGCCATGATTGTCGCGTGCTTTTCCCCAGTTTGAT